ATATATTCTAAGACACCAAGTGGATGCCTGAAACTGAAAATGGTACCAAACCTACAAGGACTAGGATGCCATTATAGTTGATCTGGTAACCGAGCTGGCCACAATGTGACTAATGGGCAGGTAGTATATACAGAGTGGATACACTAGACAAAGGGAGGATTTACATTCCAGGAGGAACAGAACGGAATGGCATAAGATCTGGCATACAACCCAGAATGGCACACAACCTAAAATTTATGAACTGTTTCTGGACATTTCACTTTAATATTTTCAAACTATTATTGACCACAGCTAAGAAATTGTAGAAAGTCAAAGCATAGGTAAGGAGACACTACTGAATCTCTTAATGATATTACCATTTATCCTGTCATGCAGCCAGAGATGATGACATAATTCTTAAGACTCATCTCTGAACATAACCAGTCCCTGATATTTGATCATCTGCTCTATTTTTCTCAAACCCACACTCCTAGGGCCAGTCTTAGGGGCACATGACCTGCATATTTACACAGAGATTGGCACTCAAAAGTTTTTCATTTAGAGTTTACTGCTTGAAGTTTTTATTGTATTTTATCTTTAAAACTTATGTTTTGGTTGGGCTTGGTGATGCGAGACCCTGTATTAAAATAAAGGTCTCAGTGGTAGAGTGCCTCCAGGTTTTATCCCCAGTACCATACACAAAATTACGTTTTATAAGCGAAATCCACAGGACGGTGGAGCAGGCACAGAGGTGAGGAGCAGTTAGTCAGAACCTCATTTCATGAGCAGTCCCACCCCCTACTACCTCTCCTGGCAGAGTATGGGGACAGAACAGGCTTGGTGGTGGCTGGCAAGTACCACTGCACATTTGGTGGCTGACTTAGCATTGAACCTCTTGCCAAATCCAATCCAGTATAAACCCAGAAATCATAAATGATGTTAAAATAAAAGACAGTTTTCACTTGGGTACAGAATAGATTTGCAAATCATGGAGCACAAGTTCAGTTAAAAACCAAACAAGTGTTCCATCAGAGGAAGGAAGATTTTTAAAGGGAAACAATGGAGTAAAGTAACTTGTGAACCATTTTTGATTGGCTTTGTTAGTTACTCAAGATGTTTTGAACAAATTTAGATGGTGCTGAAGGTCTGCTTCTACATTCAGCTACCCATGCTTGGTTGCCAGGAGCCATCTCCAGGGGCTCATCTGTAAGCACTAAGTTTTCTGAGACAGCAAATCATTAGGAATCCCATGGGTGCAAACTGTCCCAATCTGGGATCTTACAAGCACATTTCTTTCCAAACAGCATTCTTTATCCTGAAGTTAAAGATTGAGAACTTGTGTCTGAGGATCACAAAGAAATTCTGCTCTCTTGAACAAAGTGCAGTCATCTTGATTTTTATGTGTATAGCAAGTACCAAATATTTCCTTGTACAAAGGCTGAAATTCCTAGGGGATTAGCTCTCCACCATAAGTATGGGCAGTGAGTTCCTGGGAAGGGAAGATCAAGTCCCCACCCCCAGCCAGGATACTAGCACCTCCCTCTCCAGTGACTAGCAGGAAGGAGAAACCAGCAGCTGGTGAACCAAACAACCCACCGAGTAACTGTGCAGGACCCTGGGAGATGAGCAAGGGTCAGTACCTAACCAGTGAGTATCCTGCGTACAAGAGAACACAGTACCAAATAGCAAATTACAAAATCATGAGAAAGAAGATGATTACAAAAAGTAGGGGTAAAGTTTCCTTGGTAATTCTTCTAATGATACGCCTTCCTCCTCTTGCCTTTTGAGCATGCAGCTCACATTTTCATTTTTTACCAGGTCTAAAAAAAATGACATCATAGTCTGCTGTGCTAACTGACCTCATCTTTGACATGCCTTCCAGCCGGTCTCCCTGCCATGGCCCATCTTGAGGTGGTATAGAGCATCCCAAGCACATCCCTTTTTTAATACTTTCCCACAGCCCTTAACATCTGCCCAGTTGTCTATACTTGAAGGAAACAAAGGAAGCTCTTTATGATCCACCTGGTCCTTCTTCCAATGGTACATCTGAACCCATAAGCCCTTTTCCTATATAATATCCAGGGATGAGTCCCAGAATGCACTATGCTTCTCCCACAGTGCCAGGACTCTGTTTCTTAGACTTCTCATTAAAGTCACTTGGGAAATTTTTGAATTGTTTTGCCTTTTTTTTTTTTTTTCCTTTTTTCTTCCAATGGATATCTGGGCCATACCTAAAACAAATTACTTTGGAATACCTGGGAAAAGAACCAAGGCATAAAATTTTTTAAAGGTTGTTGAGTAGCCAGGTGTGCTGGTGCATGCCTGTAATCCCAATAGCTCAGGAGGCTGAGGGAGGAGGACCATGAGTTCAAAGCCAGTCTCAGCTACTTAGTGAGGCCCTAAGCAACTCAGTGAAACCCCATCTCTAAATAAAAGATAAAGGTCTAGGGATGTGGCTCAGTGGTTAAGGTCCCCCCGAGTTCAATCCCTAGTACCAATAAATAGATAAATAAATAAAATGAAGGTTGTTGAGTGATTGCAACACGCTGCCTAGACAGAGACCAGTGAGTCTCAAACTTGACATGTTTAACAATAAGTTTTGTTTGGCCCGTCTACCCCGCTCCAAGTAATGCTGATGCTGCTGTCTCAGGGACCAGCAAGGTTCCAAGTTTGGAGAGCATCTCCTTCCCATGCCCTTGGATAAGCCCAATTCAGTTCTTAGACACTTATTAAATATTGCTCTCTCCATGCAGCTCTCCCCCAGAGAAGGGTATGTCCTATGGCTATTTATTTATTTAGGTGCCAAGGATTGAACCCAGGGGTGTTTCACCACTGAGCCACATCCCCAGCCCTTGTTATATTTTGAGACAGGGCCTCACTAACTTGCTGAGGCTGGCCTCAGACTCCTGAGCCACTGAGATCACAGGCGTGCACCACCACGCCTGGGTCTGATGACAGTTTGTAAGTGTGTACCTGTGTTACCTACAAAAATTATACACATTTTCAGGTGCATGTGGAATCCAACACTCGGGGCTGTTTTACTCTCATTGTACCACTACACTGCAAGTGGCTAGAAGGACAGACACCAACACCACAAGCCACCTCGAGGATGGTCTAAAAACTAAGCTTCAGATAAGCTACGAAATTTTTTTGAAAATCCTGGGGAGCATTGGAAGAGCAGCCCAAAGTGGGGTTTAACAAGAATCCTCTGTGGGTGTCAGATGGGAAACAGCACAGATCACATATATTAAGAAGCCATCAACCAGAGAAAACCAGTAACAGTGCTTGTCCACGTAGGAGCGCCAATCAATAGTCAGGAGGGCAGAGGAGCTCAGTGGCCGCCATGCAGCTCCCCCTGAGCCTATGTGGCTTACTCTGCAGGTGTGTGGCATTAGGACTTGACTTATTTAATAGCATAATACAGTTGATAAGACAGCCTCTTCCCTCCCGTCACCTTTCCATAGATAACAAAAAAAAAAAAAAAAAAAGTCAAGCCTGACCGTCAGTGGACCGGCATTGGTTATTTATATGTGGTGCTGATAATCGAACCCAGTACCTCACACATGCTAGGAAAGCACTCTGCCACTGAGCCACAACCCCAGCCCCCAGACATTACTTTTTTTTTTTTTTTAAATGGGTGGGGGAGTAATTTTGTCTCCTCGACTTCTGAAATTCAGGTCCAAGAACATGGCACAGACTTCCCTTATTTTTGTTTTCAATGCATCAGCTCAGTACTAAAGCTTATCGAAGAGCAATGGAAAAAATAAAAATTAAAACCCAGGCCCAGTGGCACACACCTATAATCCCAGCGGTACGGGAGGCTGAGGCAGGAGGAATGCAAGTTCAAAGCCAGCCTCAGCAAAAGTGAGGCCCTAAGCAACTTGGGGAGACCCTGTCTCCAAATAAAATACAGAATAGGGCCGGGGAGGTGGCTCAGGGGTCAAGTGCCCCCGTGTTCAATCCCTGGTACCCCCACCTCCAAAAACATATAATTCAAACCAACATGAGTTCTCTAGCAAATGAGTTTTATAGAATACAGTACGAGATTTAAGCAGCCCAGAATTTTTCATTATTCTCACAACTTTTCCAGATCTAAAAACCTCTTTGCTCCTGGTTGACTTCCAAAAATGAGGTCCCGTCTAGAGAATTCCCCATTGGGATTCTATCTCCTATCTTTTGGTACCAATATCCTACTTTTTATGCAGGAATCTACCTTTCCTTCAGGCAGCCCCGGTGCTCTCAGGAGCTGGCCCTGTCCAGGCATGTCATCTGGGCCTAACCCGAGAAGCACAATTCCTTCTCCTGGAAAAAGCTATGGGTTCAGAGGTGGGCTACACTAAACTAAACCTAAGTTACTGCAATCAGACTTAAACTCGGGACTCTCATCTCTACTACCACAAAGAAGAATGAGGAAGATTCGAGACACCAGAAGCCACTCTGTGCTCAAGAATAGGATGCCTGCTGAGCAAAGCAAGGAGAAAACGTGGGCCTTGCTTGGTTCTGACTTCTTGGAAGCTGGAGTAAGCCTTATCTGAAGGATACCTCTCAACTCTTTCCTTCTTTGCTTAAGCTTGCCCGAGTTGAAGCTTTTGTCATTTGTAAATGAAAGGGTACTAGGTGATATGCTCCTTAATTCCACATGATGGCCACTGCATTGCCTGCTAATCACCCTGCAGTTGAAAAACTTAAGTCCTAGGGAGCTAGGAACCACAAGCACGGATCCTCCCAGGAGTAGCTTGGATAGTCTGCTAAGAAACAGCCAGGTACAGGCCTCTCCTTCTCCATTTCCCTGGGATGGGAGATAGTACTTAACTGAAAATATGGCCTACGATTAAATAGAACCAATATATTCTCTTTGATATACTTATTAAAAATTGTGTACACTGGTGGTATTATGGCATTCCATTTGCTGACAAAAAAAGGAAACAAAAAATCCAGAATGATGCTCTTTCTGTATGGCAGTGTCCCATGGTTGTGTTCATACTGCACACAAAACACACAAATGAGAGCCATCATGGGCTGAGGGTATAGCTCAGTGGTAGAGTGCCTGACTTACATGCAGGAGGCCCTGGGTTCAATCCCCAGTACCGGAGGGGGAAAGAACCATCAGAATGACTTCCATTCACCCATTCAAGGCCCACCAAGAATTTGAGATTTATGGTGCTCACCCAGAGCTTGGAAATAGCTTGGGCATGAAGGTCTTTGGCATTATCAGCCCTAGGCTGGGAGTGAGGAATGGTATTGTGTGTTTGAAATATGGGGGAAAGCCCCCTAGAATGGAAAGAGGGATCCAGCTTTCTTTTCTCATTCCAGAGGAAAGGAATACCCCAGAAGAGTTGACAAGAAAAAGATATTTTCAAAACTTGGCTATTATTTTAGTTTTCCAAAATTCCTCCCTCCCCTTTCATTCCCTCCCCCTTTAGTACTAGGGTCGTTGGTAAATCCTCTTAATTATGATATGAATCATTTTCTTCTAATCCCTTAAGAAGGGTGAGGAATTTGTTAAATATTTTCACTGGTGCTATTAGCGTCTTTTCTTATAAATAATGACAATAATAGCTAACATTTATGGAGTGTTTACTTAGTGCCAAGCACTTTTATAAGAAGTTTTCCTTTAATCTTCACACCAACTCAAAGAAATATCATTATCTCCATAATTTACAGATGAAAACATTTAAGCTTTGAAAAGCTAAACAACTTTCCAAAATTAAAAAAAAAGAGTCAAGTTTTGAGGCAAGAATACAAAGCCAGGCCTGCTCGACTCTAAACTTTTGTTTCAGCGACTGCCCTTGATAATCTCTAAGGGCAACACCACCACCACCAGACCACCATCCCTGTCACTCTCATCTGCCACTCACTGAGCAGTCACCCTATGCAGGCATCATGGGCCAGTCTTTTACCTAAAACTGACTCATCTCACAACTCAATGGGGCAGGAAATGTTATTCCTAGGTTACAGAAGAGGTACCTGAGGTTGAAAGAAGTTGATGAATTAGGCCTTATCTTGGTTTAACACAGGTAACAGGTATCAGGATTGATCCAAGCAGTCAGACTTTAGAGCCTACATCTTACCCATCATTCAGCAAAATCTCAGGAGAAAACTTGGGTGGGAGATAGCAATACTAATGACTCTCTGATAAGCTGAGACCAGAGAATCTGCGCCTAGATCAAAGGGGCAAGGTGGCATTGTCTGGGACTCAGTTGTACTCTCTAGGTTTAGATCATCTTCTGCAGTCTCCAAGTAGATGGCTGAATTTATTTAGTAAAACAAAATAGTATCACACTGAACCAGGAGGTAGGAAGCCTATGTACACTCAAAAGTGAAAGTAGGGGCACACAACCTATAATTCCCGTGGCTTAGGAGGCTGAGGCAGGAGGATCCCAAGTTCAAAGCCAGCCTTAGCAACTTAGTGAGTTCCTATGTAACTGTAACTGAGACCCTGTCTTGACATAAAAAATTTTAAAAGGCTGGGGATGTGGCTCAGAGATTCAATGCCTGGTACCAAAAAAATAAATTAAAAAAAAAAAATCACTGGGAAGTTAAGCATCTACTTTTAAGTGATCTGACACAAGTCAAATCAAATTCTGGTCATCAATACATCTCATAGTACATGAAGAAAGCAATTTTTTCCCCCAGTATAATGTATTAAAGGCAAGAAAACTATTGGGCTAAGTATGAGGCCAGATTTTTCAGAGAGGAAAAAAAAGAAATTAGAACTAGAACAGAATTTAAATACTTCTATTATCCCCATTTACAGAAACTAGGTAACTCGTCCAAAGTTAGAGAATAAGACATTGAGCTGAATGTCCAACCTAGGCCATCAGGCTATCGAGCTTGAACATGTAACTTTTTCTGCCTCTTACTTCTGATTGATGGCATGGTTTTTACTTCATTCTTCAAACCTATTTTTCAGTTTCCTACAGTGAGCAGGAATTACATATTAATAAGAATCATGGAATAATTCACTCCTGGTTTTTTATATTTTATACATATAGATTTAGAAAGCTAGATCATTCATGGAAAAAACTGGAAGTACTTCCTTAAAGGTCTTCCAAGTGCTCAATTTGACTGCATATCCTTTAAGTGAGTCCTCCTGGAAGGTCCCTCTCTGAGACTTCCTATAATAGAAAGCTGCAGCACTGCCCAGTCGGAGCTCAACATGATTTTGCTGTTTGAAAGAAAAGCGGAATGTTTTACTTCCTACTTTGATTCTAAGCTTCCTGAATATCTTTCATGTTCCTCGGAATTGATGACCCCGGGAAAGAGTCAGGATAATCACATGGTTTGCTGTGTTTGTGGATCCAACTTCTGAAACCAATGCTGCTTACAGTTCCCACCCCTATTTAACAGTCCCTTATCACATAAGGGAAAGATCATTCACTTTGACTAGCGTAAGTACCGAGATTAAGACAGAGACAGCTATGGCAAAATTTCAAGAGAAAGACGTATTCCAGAGACCCGGGAATGAAAGGCAACATTTCAGATTTTTCAAGTTAGGGTTCTCAGGTTTTTGTGAGAACTGGAAATATACTCCAACATGGGGCGGGGGGAAACCAACAAGTACCAGAACTCTTCTCCCATTCTGTAGGTATTTTATCTGCAGAGATACTATGAATATAGATTAAAGGGGAAGAATAAGACAGGAGGTGGGAGAAAAGAGAGGTTCTTAGCAAACTGCACCAGAAGTCAGATGGAGTTGAATCAAGCCCCCAGTGGGAAACGATTGGGCAAAACTTTGAGAAGCGTCCTGTTCTCTCTCACAGCCTTAGTTTCCCCTTGTTCAGTGATTTCTCAGGTCCCTTCTCAACATAACATCTGAAAATGCTTGGGTTTTTCATCACCACTTCCTCACACAAAATTCTCAAATTTCTCCAGGCTGAGATAATAGGTAGGTGTATATTGGCTTCTCTTTTCTTCAGATCCTTCCATTGCCAACCCTCATTATTCATCATTTTTCACATATTAACAACAACAACAAAAAAGAATTGTTTAGACTCTGAAAGTTAAGATTCAAAATTTCATGAACGATAAATGAACCTAAGGCAACACATACCATTGAGAGCTAGTGCAGAGAAATTCTATAAATGGTCAAGCACAGAAGTTTTAAGGATTTTAAGTCCTACATCCCAGAGACAAAAATTAAATTTTCTTTACAAACCCTAAAAATCAAGCTGCCAAAAGTGCAAAATGACTCACTGATAATTCAGATGGCTACTATAATAAAATGTAACATTCTCCAGAGGAATATAACAAGAGTCCTGGAAATCTATGATAAACTATTCACAATAGTCAGTGTACGAAAATTAGTGCACATGTGAAGAAACAGTACAATATGACAAAGTAGTCAAGAGAAAAATCAGTCACTAAAAACAGACCAATATATATCCAGATGTTACAATGAATAGATAAGTATATATTAAATATTTATGTTACTGAGCCCAAAAACACATTGAGCTAAGAGTAATGGGAATTTCATCAGAAATATGGAAATCATATAAAAGAAACAAAGGCAAATCCTAAAACAGAGGTCTGAAATTCTTTGATACCAGAAATTCATTGTGTGGTATGTCAGATTGGACACAAAAGATGAAAGGTCAGCAATGTATAAAAAGAACAAATCATGATCAAGTTGATGCATGTATGTGAGGATGGCTCAACATTCAAAATATTAGGGGCTGGGAATTTAGCTTAGTGGGATTGCACTTGCCTAGAATATTCAAGGCCATGTTTTCAATTCACAGCACTGAAAAACAATCTTTAAAAAATTAAATTTTGATGTAATATGCCATATCAAAAGATTATAGTAGGAAAACCATACAGTTATTTTAAATAAAAATTTCATCAACTTTAATGCCCTTTAATGATAAAATAAAATCTTAAAAAAATTAGGTATACAGAGGAACTTCTATTACCTGACCAACTTTAAGTTAATATGTTAACTAATAAAAAAAATTCTAAAAGCTTTCCTTATGACTTTATCATTGGGAATATGACAAGAATCTGTTTGCACTTTCCTATCCATAATCAATCTGGAGGTCCTCATCAGTGAAATAAGTCAGGAAAACCATAAAACATTGAAAATGAAATATTATCTCAATTCACACACAATATGATTGGTCTACAAAGAAAATCCTAAGAAAGCTACAAAAAAAACAAAAGAATAAATTGCTTTAGCAAGCTCCATGGATATAAGATCAATGTGCCCCCCCCAAAAAAATCATTTCTACATACTAGCAATGAACAATTGGTAATTGACATGAGAAAGTATCATTTATAATAGCACCAAAGAAACAGCAAACATGAAGGTATAATTCTGCCAAAATATTTGGGAAATCTATATGCTACAATGAGGAAAGAAATCAAAAGGCCTAAATAAGTGGAAAAACAGACCATGTTTATGGGTTGAAGACTCAACAATGTTAAGACATCAACTCTTTCCAAGCTAAGCTGTATAGCAACCTAATTCAAACAAAATTGCAGCATGTTTTTAAAAATAAAAAATTACAACCTCTCAAAATTCATAAGGAAAGGCAAATGTATTAGAATAACCAAAGGCATTTGATAAATAAAAATAAATGATTCTTGTTACCCAGTTTCAATACTTAATACAATGCCTCAACAAACAAGATAGCTTTAAATTAGAGAAATGATAAACATAGACCAACTAACTGGTAAGGAGTCCAACCATACACACAAAATTATTTTAATTCCTACAAAATACAGAGGCAATTCAGTAGAGGAAAAGTTTGGTTTTTTAAAATAAATAGTTGGATATCCATATGTAAATAATAAATAAGAATCTCAAGTTGTACCTTACATCATATATAAAATTCAAAATAAATCACAGATCTAAATGTAAAGCTAAAGAGAATAAAGTTTTTAGAGGAAATGTATAGGGGAAGATCTTTGTGATCTCTGGTTTGGCAAAGATTTCTTAGATACAATCTGTTAAAAAGCCAGCCAATATGATTTTGATAAACTTCTTTCTGCTTTGTGAAAGCTAGTCCTAAGAAAATAAAAAGGCAAGCCAGAGGCCAGAAAAAAAAAAATATCTTCAAATCACCTATTTGTACAAAAACACTTAAGTCTACAA